ACTTTGGAAAGCTTGAATGATCGTTGAGTGTGCATGAACTGATTGGACATCGAACCCAGTAGCATGAAGTTACAAGGCTAACATTCAGCCAGTCGGGAATAGTCCATTTACTGATCAATTCAAAATAATGTCAGTTTGTAATACATATAGCGTAAGCGTCAGTCATTGCCTTCGGTGATTATTTGTTCTCACACCCAACTGGTCAGGTCTTCCCACTGGAACCTTATTTGACCTTATCCTGTAGTTAATCAGTGAGTGAATAGTGCGGATGAACTGGCCGATGTTGGAATCGATAGGTCATTCCAGTGACCCGGCCGATAACTGCTACGTTGCCGTGGTGGTCGGGCTTGAATTTCGCACTGACCCAACAAGCTAAACTAACTGGGACTCATATCCCTGCATGTCCTACCATACCAGGAAGGTTGTTTGGATAGCGGTTAGACTAAAAGCAGTTACCATGGGGTACATGTGCTCCAGAATCCAATCGGATCAAATGGCGTACCAACCCAAGTGGTTCACCGTCAACCATGGGGACGCTGCACCTGACGCTGCTCCGCTGCCTTGCGGGTTAGACTCCAAGTCAAAGGCTCGGGAGGTGGTCCTTTAAGAAAACCACCTGCTTCAGTTTGGGCGCCCGGGCAGTATCTCAGCCCTCACACAATGAATGAAATAAATCAACAAAATATCAGTGGAACTTATCGCGCGCTCCTAACAATGCCTTCAAGCAATACTTATGTCTCAAGTAACACATATCTTTCCAACCTTACTACAATTTTTCTACTTAGTTTCCTGTGTTTTACCTTTGCTCACGTTGACTTCTTAACCTTCGACAGCCTTTCGCCTTTGTCTGGATTCCAAGCCTATCTGTGTCGTGTTGCAATTTCCTTCTTTCTTCCCTTCCTGATGATAGTTAACGAATACTGCTGGAACTAGTTAAACATGACTGTTTTCCTTCCTGATGAAGTCCTTTATCCGTTTTCTACATATATTTTTACTTTTAATCTATGTTGTTTTATTATTATTATGTGGCGCATCCTTCTTGGTGCAATTATTATTTCCTTTAGTTCCTAGAGGAACATAGGGCTTCAGCCATGCGTCTCCATTGCGTTCGATTCTCTGCTAGAGTTTTCACCTGGCTCCAGGTCTGCCCACATGCTTTCATCTCCTCTTCACATGATCTCCTCCAGGTCACCCTTGGGCGACCAACTCGTCGCTTCCCTTTCGGGTTCCACTCGAGGGCTTGTCTAGTGATGTCACTTGCTGGTTTCCTCAGAGTGTGGCCAATCCATCTCCATTTTTTCCTGCCTATTTGTTTCACAATGGGTTCCTGGTTGGTTCGCTCCCAGAGATCTTTGTTGCTGATCCTTTCCGGCCATCTGATCTTGAGTATTGAGCGAAGACATCTGTTAATGAAGATCTGTAGCTTGTTTGAGGTGCTCTTTGTGACACGCCAAGTCTCTGATCCGTATAGTAGTACTGACTTCACATTGGAGTTGAAAATCCCGATCTTATTTTTGACGCTGAATGATGTTGTCCTCCACACAGACTTCAGAGTAATGAAAGCTTGCCTCGCTTTCCCGATCCTTGCTTTGATATCCTCGTCAGTTCCGCCTGTAGTTGAAACAATGCTTCCCAAGTAGGTAAAGGAGGTAGTTTCTTTCAGGTTTTTTCCATTTATGCTGATTGCTGTCTGTTGTTGTTGTTGGTGTTGGCCAGGGATCTTCATCACCTCTGTTTTTTCTATGTTCACCTGGAGTCCTATCTTTGATGCTTCTTCTGCCAACTTGTTACTTTTCACTTGCATATCTTCCAGTTTGTGGGAAATCAGGCATATATCATCGGCGAAGTCCAGATCCTCCAAGTTCTTTGTGTGAGTCCATTTTATGCCTGTTTCCTCATTGCCCGCTGTTTGTCACATTCTCCAGTCTACTGCAATCACGAAAATCATTGGCGATAGTAGGCAACCCTGTCTTACTCCTGTCTTCACTAAGAAGGATTCCGTGAGCTTTCCGTTGTGGATTACTTGGCATGCAGCGTTGTCATACAACTGTTGGATGAGATGTATAATTGTCGGCGGCACCCCGTAGTAGCGAAGTAGTTGCCAAATCACCTCTCGGTCGACGCTGTCGAAGGCCTTTTCAAAGTCGATGAAGTTGAGATAGAGAGGTGACTGCCATTCCAAACTTTGTTCAATGATGATCCGTAGTGTGGCGATTTGATCAATACATGACTTGTTACTCCTGAATCCAGCTTGTTCTGGTCGAAGTTTTTCATCCAAGGCTTGTTTGATCCTTTCCAGGATGATGCGGCTTAGTATTTTGCTTGGGATGGAAAGGAGCATAATTCCGCGCCAGTTCTTGCATTGACTTAAGTCTCCTTTCTTTGGTAGTTTGAATAGGTATCCTTTCTTCCAATCCTCGGGTACTTTGCCTTCTTTCCACACCTTCTCTAGTAGTGGCGTCATCAAGTCTGCTGTTGTCTCTGGGTCGACTTTCAATGCTTCTGCTGGGATTCCATCTGGTCCTGCTGCTTTCCCAGCTTTCAGCATCTTGATTGCCTTCAGGACTTCTGATTTCGTCGGGGGGTTGATGTTCACTGGTAATTCTGCTTCCGTTGTTGGTATTGTTGGGCGCGTTGTAGGTGGCGGTCGGTTTAGTAGTCTTTTGAAGTGTTCAGCCCAGTGTTTCCTTTGCTCCACTTCTTTGGTGATTGACTTTCCATTTTCATCCTTCACTGGCTTAATTTGTGACGAATTTTTGCCTGAAAGGTACCTAGTTGTTTGGTGAAGTGTTGCGAGGTCTCCTTTGCCTGCAGCTTGTTCTGCTTCATTGGCCATGGCTTCATAATACTTTCTTTTGTCTTCTCTGGCACTCTTCTTTACTCCTTTGTTCAGTGTATTGTAGCTTACATTCAACTCCTGTTTCTGTTGCTCGTCGGTGCACTGCAGAATTTTTTGTTTCACCATCCTTCTCTCCTCTATTAGCCTCCAAGTGTCCGTAGTGAGCCACGGTTTGTCCTGTCTCTTCTTTCTGCCCAGAACTTCCATGCAGGTTTCGCTCCATACTGTTTTCAGGTTGTTCCAGTGTTTTTCGACGCTAACCTCTTCACTAATGTTGATTTGTGTCTCAGCTTTGTCCTTTATACTTGCAGTAAAGATATCCTTTGTATCCTGGTCCTTTAGTTTTTGAGTGTTGAACTTGGCTTGTGGTCTATCTGCAGCTCCTGTTTCTCTGAAAGCCTTTAATTTGAGTTGGATTGTTCCTTGTACGAGGTAGTGGTCTGAGCCAACGTCTGCTCCTCTTCTTGCTTTTGTGTCCAGTAGGCTGCGCCGCCACTTCCTCGAGATTGTGATGAAGTCAATTTGGTTTTTGGTTCGCCCATCTGGTGACACCCATGTAGCCTTGTGAATATCCTTGTGTTTGTATACGCTGCCACCAATCACTAGTTCATTGAAGGCGCAGAAGTCGGCGAAGAGTTCTCCATTTTCATACATCTCTCCCAGAGCTTCTTTACCCATGATGAGTTCCCTTCCTGTGTTGTCTGATCCCAGTTTGGCGTTCATGTCTCCCATTAGTATTTTGATGTCACCGGCTGGAGTATTGTCTATTGCTGCCTGCAGTTGTCTGTAGAATTCTTCTTTCTTTTCGAGGTCTGCGTTGTTGGTCGGTGCATAGCATTGTATAATTGACACTTTCCTTCCTTTGGAGTTGAATCTGGCGGTTATTATCCTGGGTGAGATCGCCTCCCATTGTATCAGAGCCTTGGTTGCCGTTGGTGACATCATTATAGCCACGCCCTCGGTGTGTGTGTGGTTGTCTTCTGGGTGACCGGAATAAATCACTGACTCACCTGTTGACAATTTGGTGAGTCCGTATCCGTTCCATCTGCTTTCGCAGATCCCCAATACTTGTAGTCCGTATCTCCTCATTTCGCTTGCGATCTGGGCAGCTTTGCTAGTCTCGTACATGGTGCGGACATTCCATGTCCCCACACAGACTTTTTCTTTTGACGCAAGGAGACTGTTCACGCTGAAGTTTCTGTAGCAGGTTTGTTTACAGGGTGGGGTTGCTGGCCTCACGCCTTCTTGGTGCAATATTGTACCAAGTTTTTCTGCGTTTAAATAAATAATAAAATATTCCAATGTCTGACTGGTCGATGCGTCCATTTTGTAACCTGAAGTTTCCTGACACAATCATGCGATCGCATCGAACAGTTATCCGGAACTCCTCGGTAGCTTTCAATACATCTCCGACTAAAGTCAGTTCGTGATCAATTTTGTGATTAATCGAAGACCTGGAGACCAATACTCAAAAGTATTCACTTCTAGTTAACAGATTTATACTTTTTCTTCTTCATTGGATTGTTAAAATGCTTTGTCTGTCATTGGAGAAAGGTCACTGGACTGTCAGATGTGATCTTCAAACTAGATTCTTGGAGCAATGACAGCGAAATAAAGTATGTACTTGATACGTTTCTCATTTTCTCTGTCAAACCTGCTATTGACGAATTCGAGAATGTGTTTTTCTGAAAATCAAGTGTATGTGTTCGAATGAATGAATGTCCTAAATATTATTACAGAAACAGTCTACGTGTTAGTCATATTCACCCAGACAGTGATCGTTTGAAACATCACACTGCTGAATTTTATAATCAATGAAATAATAATGTAGTGATTACCAGAAGACATACACCATTCAAATTATCGGGTGATGGATAGAGAAATTTTATGCTTTAGCCTTAGATCAAACGATGCCTATTTTTGTGTGTTTCTTTTTGCCACATCAGACGAACATGTTTACAATTCCACCAGTATTTGATTGACTCGAATTTTGTTATTAGATCAAGAACGCTGTAACATGTCAACAAATTTTATTAGAAAGTGAAACAGTGATGCATTTAGAATGATTTGTGTTCAAATTTTGTAGGAAAAAAGAAAAACAATCACCTCGTCACAATTTCAACACATTCAGTGTTCAGTGTTCACGTTATATTTGAATGGATTATTCATCATATTGTGATAGACAATTAACGACCCGGTTGAGAGCTACAAAAGTGAGTAATTATTTTACATTGAAATTGAAGAGGATGACTTACCAATTTTAGCTACATCTTGCAACTTTTCGCCTAAACCATCTTTTTCAAGATAAGCAGAAACTTTTTTCACAAATTCAACTTCCATTTTGTTGCAAAGTGTTTTTATGTTTTCCAATAGTTTCATAAATTCGTCTACCTGTTTGATTGATTTTTATTAGGTTTCGTAAACTTACTATTTCAGTTTTATCTTCACGACATCTGTTGTTGAGAAAAACAAAGATAATAACAATGATAAAAAAAGATTATCTGCATGCATAAAACTATGTGCTATTGATTAATTGATTGATTGATTGATTCAGATGAATAGTTGAACACCACTCATATCAACCTGCAACCACTAGCTGGATAGCCAGATCTAGGTGATCTACACACCGGATGGCTGTTTCTTTCTCAGATTTGATTATCTGAATGTATTTACAACATAATTATTGACGACGTGAACTTCGGAGTGAATTGACACTATTTGAGGAACCTCACATAAATAGCCACTACTAGAAAAGTGGTTTTTAATAGTTATAGGCTTCATAACTGTCTGTAGTCAACCACGAAACAATAAGAAATCGCAGCGGTGAGTTTTAATTCATATGGTTATCATCACATTGTCATTTAGCCAGTGGATTGAAATAGTATAGGCGATGAATACCATAGTTAGACGGCGAGTTGATGTTAGTTAGAGAACCAGCAAGGAGTACTAGACAGCTATAACGCCCTTGTCTGGGATTCTTCGGCAGTACACACCCATTGGAATTCGAATTCAGGTCCTTCCAGTTACAAGGCTAGCTCGTAGACGATTCAGCCACTGCGACATGATCCAATGGCCCATGAAAACTGTCTTGTACCAATATCTGGTTTTAGTGTGATCACCAGCCAGTGTCATCGGCCAGTCTTTTTCTCACTCTCTACAGAATGGCCCATTACTGCTCACCCTAGCTGCAGTCAATGACGATCGACAGATACATTTCCAAGAATTAACTAGTTAGCAGGAGTTTGATTTGTCTCAAGTCTGATCAGTGTTTGAAGGGATTTAGCTGAAAACCGCTTGAAAAGTAACCACTCATTGATTTCTATTAAAAAGTTATTCATTTTGGGACAGTCTAACTGAGTAGAAACAGGCATAGAAGCAGTCAGTTCATCGTCGCACTTAACAAAATTTGTTCATCAGAATCCTTCTAGTAATGTAAGAAAAAAGTAAAGAGAAAATGAGAAAGAACAGCACCCTGAGAAACACCAGCTAAGTGAAGTCAGTTAAGCTGTTGAGGACTTCTCAGTACATACAGTGTAGTGCTTTCTATCAGAAAAGTGAGAATGCAACCACTTCTTAATTAGTCCAGCACCTTGGTGCAATTGACACAAACTTGTTTAACACAGGAGGCTTAAGTATAGAGTCGACGGTAGATGTATAATCTGGGGAGGCGAACGCAACATATTTGGCACCTCTATCTACATTTAGGGAAAGATAATGATATATGACGTCAGTGGCATCTGAATTACACCTACTATGTTTATACGAAAATTGTTTGTGGTGATTAAAAGCCTTCAGTGAAGTTCTAACATTCAGGAGAAGCTGTTTTCCCAATATTTTCAGAAATAATGAATTAGTAGCAATAGGTCTATACTGAACAATTGATGCAGGTGACGATTTAGGCACAGAAAAAATTTCAATATCCTACCAAGAAGCAGGCACAGTATCAGTGGCAAATAACTAATTGAAAATACCAGTGAGAGGATAAAATAGAAATATATAAACTGGTACACCTTCTGGACTATAGGACTGGGTAGATTTCAAGGATTGGAGACACTTGAGGACGTCATTTCCATTGATATCGGAGAAGCAGTCATTATTTATGCTTGTAGTGTTTGAAATCATAGCATCTACTGGAGGACACATGAAGGAATTACTTAGTGTACCAGCATTGACTTAACAAGGATGGTTATTTATGTCCTTGCCACGGGTGACTTCCTTTACTAGATGTCACATATTTGATGGGGTTATGCGTGATGAAGCCTTTTTATAGTACATCATACTGAGTGTGCCTCTGTATTTCTGATTGAGTTAAAATGTTCAATCTCCTAATACCAGGATTAACTTTCATTTTATTCAACCTTTATTTACCTCAGAGAAACATTTTGAGTTGAGAAGAGAAAAAGCAGTCTCTACTCTCCAATTTTTTTAATCATCTAATGACAATTATTGGTTGCTAAGTGTCCTCGTGCACAATTTTTGGTTTGTTGTCAACGTAATGCAGAGTACCGCTCTCATTGAAGTAAATGATGAGGGAGAACATCATAGAGGAACGCTTATTAGTTGGTTGAAGTCGATCTGAAGGAGGGTCTAAGTGACCAAGGTTTCGTTTATGTTGGCACAACCCATTATTATTATTGCCCTTACTCTTCCTCAAATTGATTTTACTCGCATCCAAACAATCTCAGTCATAATGTTGTCTAATTCATCATTTCCACTAAAGCATTCTTCAAACACTTACAAGTTTTCGATAAACAAAGATACTAATAAACTTTTCTGAGCTTAATTCTCTCCTTTTCTAAATCACTCATATATTGATTATTTCGTGACCATCTGTTCACTCAGTCCACTATCTTTTATTGAGTGTTTTCTATGTTTTACGAGTTGATCACGAACTGATATCAGTTAGAGAACCATTGAAAACCAGGGAGTACTGGACAGCTGCTGTTTCATCCTAATTTGGGAATCGTCGGCAGTACGCACCGACTGGGATTCGAACCCAGGACCTTCCGGTTACAAGGCAAGCTCGTATATCATTCAACCACTGGGACCCGATTCAATGGCTCATGAATTCTAACTTCTAACAATTCGTGATTTTACCGAGACCCCAACTATTGCCGTTGGTGGAAATACATTCACACGTGACTTCTAATTGGACCTCACTGGTCACGACTTCTCACTAGAACTGCAGGAAGCTCCAACCTGTAACAAGTCACTAGCGAGCATCAGAATAATTTTCTATCTCTGTAACAGACGACCTTGAACTAATTTATCAATCTGCCTTCCCCCTCTACCACACAACTTTGTATGATCCTGTTATGATGAGTCATCCAATGTGTGTTCCAATGCACATTAATTTTTATTTTCATCTGAAATTCAACATAGGGGTCACAAAAGTTTTTCTCTATACAATTTAACCCAATTCTGAATTTAGTATGAAACAGCCGTCTTGTCCTGCTTGCCATTCCATCGGAATCTACCTGATGTCAAATTCACGACGAAATCTCTGTTTAAATAAACCAAGTAAAACTCAGAGACTAACGTACTGACTCAATTACCCTATAGATACAAGAAAAAATTTATTTATTTTAGCATGACATAAGTGTGAGGTCGATCACAAAGGTCAAACTGGTAGATCGGAGTGAGTTAGATTCTCGGAACGTAGACTGGAAGATAGAGTGATCGAGAATGACTCAGCCTGTTAGGTTAGGAATTTAGCAAATCCTAAATAAGCCTTTCCTATTACGACATAAGAATTTAGCTATGTGCAGAATAATTGACCCTGTCAAGTACAATAATTTCGATAAGTAAAGCCAAACAAAGAAACAAACAATGTCAGCCATTGAAATGTATTCACGAAATAGGATTTGAATAGTAGCAGTGAGATAGAGAGAGAGAGAGATTCTGAACATTTATGCGGTAACCAACCGAAACTGGTGCATTCGAGTTATACAATTCCTGTCTCTCTCTACATACATCAGTTGCATTTCGATTCATTGACTTACATTTTAATCCTTGGAATCATTTAGAATATGTTGTATGGATAGTCTGTCACTTCCTGGTTGTGAGTAGTAGAAACCAATGGGATAGATAATATCGACTGATTCATGTGAAACCGGCTGTAACTATAACTGGAGAACTCCTATTGACAGTGATTAATGAGATGACCATTTCATGATTAATTCGCGACTTAAAAGCGTCACTCGTCGGTGAATATTCTCTTCAATATAGTACTTTTCATGTTCATACAGGCTTATAAAGTCGGTTAAACCAGAAATTTGTATTCACCAAAGAAACACCTAGAGTAATTGAGCCACATAAGGCCTTGCTTCAATCACTGAGCTACGTACATCTCATTCAGGATGAATGCGTACATAATAATAGTAATATCAATAACATAACATATCAGTTGCATTCCAAACAGTATTTTGTTACAAATGTGGAATTTTCAGCATGTGTTAGACTATTGCATCTAAATATCTCATAAGAGGGGTAGTAATTTAAGCCATGGTAATTATAATGAAAATATCTAAATATGAATGTAATATTAAATCAGTTGAATATATTGACAACCATGTAAGAATGAAAGAAATATTGCTCCTCACTTAGTCTTTCTCAGTAATTTCGTAGTGTCATGGCTTACACTTTTCTCACCATATAAAATGTATGCCTGACAAATAAGGTATTGTAGAGTTCTTGTAATTAGTCATCCAAACATAAAGGCTTATATAGTTGCTGATTAGGTGCAAGCAGACAGTTGCATATAGAGGGATGCTCAGTGTCTGACAAGAAAATATCCCCTTATTTCTTACTTGAGTCCGCGTGTCATTCTTCAATATTTATAACAATCTCACCTAGCAGTACCCCCACTCGACCTGCCAACATCGTTTACCGACTTTCTCAGTGTAAAAAATTCTTTCTTAGATAGTCCAAGAAAGACTAGGAGTTCGCAGTAGAGCTGGGTAGATAGAATACAAGAATTAAACGTGGAAATTAGAGAATGAGTGACACCAGACTGTCTTGACCTCCTCACCTAGTACCTCAGACGAAATATCCTTCTAGAAACTAATATGATGTGGGAAAACTAGGAAAGATCAGAGGAAATACACAGTCTCAAGTATCAAACAGTCGACTTATTTGCAACTTCTGAGCAATCTATGATAGTGGGACCATGCGAAATAACCAGTTCATTTGAGTAGCGCTATGCTGTAGATTATTTGACAAGAAGCACAGGCATAGAAGCAGTCAGATAATAGCCATACTTAACCAAATCGGTTTGTCAGAAGTGGTCATGTCATGTGAGAAGAAAGTGAAGAGAAAATGAGAAAGAACAGCACCCTGAGAAACACCAGCTAAGTGAAGTCAGTGAAGCTGTGGAGGACTTCTCAGTACATACAGTGTAGTGCTTTCTATCAGAAAAGTGAGAATGCAACCACTTCTTAATTAGTCAAGTACCCTGCTTGTGTTGAGTCAAACTTGTATCTCTAAAGACGACTAGATTCAGAGTCGAATGCAGATGTGTAAACTGGGGAGGCACACCGAACATATTTGGCACCTCTGTCTAACTAAATAAGGGAGAAGTGTAGGCATTCAGACCATAGTGGTACTTAAAGTGCACCTTTTTTGTTCGTGAGCTGATTGATGACGGTCGTTAGAAGCCTTCAATGAATGTCCAAAGTTAAGTAAAAGCAATTTTTCCACTATTTTTAAAAAAGGTAAAGTTATATTCATAGGTCTATACTGAACAATTGATCCAGTTGACGATTTAGAACCAGACACAATACCAGTGGAAAATGACTAATTGAAAATACCAGTGAGAGGATATAATTAAATATCCACAAATTTTCTAAGGGTTATTGCTTTTACACCTTCTGGATAAAGGGACTGGGGGGATTACAAGGATTGGAGAGACTTGAGGACGTCATTTCCATTGAAATCGGAAAGCCAGTAATTATGTATAGTTGGAGCATTTGGAATCATAGCATCTACTGGAGGACACATGAAGGAATTCCTAAGTGTACCCGCTTGACTTAACAAGGATGGTTATTTATGTGCTTGCCACCGGTGATTCCCTTAAATACATTTCACATATTTGATGGGGTTATGCATGATAAAACCTTTTTATTGTACATCATACTGAGTGTGTCTCTGTATTTCTGATTGAGTTTAAATGATCAATCTCCTAATACCAGGATTATCTTTCATTTTATTCAACCTTTATTTTCCTCAGAGAAACATTTTGAGTTAAGAAGTTTTTAATCATCTAATGACAATTATTGGTTTATGAGCGTACTCGTGCACACTTTCTAGTTTGTTGTCAACATAATGCAGAGTACCGCTCTCATCGAAGTAAATGAGGGGGGAACTTCATACAGGAAAGCTTATTAGACGGTTGAAGTCAATCTGAAGGAGGCCTTACGTGACCCAGGGTTCGTACATGTTGGCACTCACCAGTCACCAGTCAGCTAGGTGTGTTTGAAATCTTGAGGGAACTCTTATTATTATTATTATTATTATTATTATTATTATTATTATTGCCCTTTCTCTTCCTCATATTGATTTTACTCGCATCCAAACAATTTGAGGCATAATGTTGTCTGATTTATCATTTCCATTCTAGCATTCTCCAAACACTTACAAGTTTTCTATAAATAAACATACCAATAAGCTTTTCTGAGCTTAATTCTCTCCTTTTCTAAGTCACTCATATATTGATTATTTCGTGACCATCTGTTCACTCAGTCCACTATCTTTTATTTAGTATTTTCTGTCATTGTACTAGACGACCTTGAACTAATTTATCAATCTGCCTTCCCTCTCTACCACACAACTTTTTATGATCCTGTTATGATGAGTCATCCAATGTGTGTTCCTATGCACACTAATTTGTATTCATATTTAAGACAGCAAATATGTTACAAAGATTTTTCTTGGTCACATACGTGATAATCCTAGGGCCAGGTTAGAAATTTGGTCCATCATAGGATAACATATGAAAGTTGCAGTGGTTGAACAATTTTTTTATGCTTACGACGATTGTCGTTTCTATTTCGATGCCTAGAACTTCAGAAATACAGTTGTATCAGATACGTAGTGATTTGAGCCTCATAAAAATTTGTTTACCAGATAATTTTGTAGAGACAAAGTCAGAACCAGTGTCAACCAAGGCTCTACTCTGTTGTAGACACCGAAAATTGTGTTCTAACAGCCTTTTGGACCCTTTGTATTTTGGTGTGTTTACCGGTTGGCTTGTTCCTATAGTGCTGAGTATATTGATCGTTCGATGCGGATTGAAAAGACATATAAACGTGTGCTTTATTCTCTGTATCTTGTAATAAGCTTCTTTATTGGGAACGCTATATTATCTGTTCTCATCTACGTCTAATTAATTTTCATGAAACACTAAACAGATGTTGTTTCATTAGGGCCTCTTTGATGAATGATACAAATCCTCTAAGATGAAAGGTAGAATCCAAAAAGGCAGGACAGATCTTCATTATTAATGGGAAATCAATGTGAAAACCTACTGCAGTCAGTATAAAGAACAAGATTTGGATGTTCATGTCTGTCTGTCGCTTCTTCTTTACGATTCACAGTCTTGGCCTAAGTTGGCATGAACAATGTCTTAGCTGGCTTGATAGAGAAGATCAGATGGTCAACTGAGAAAGGAACACTAACAAGTAGCTAGGCAAAGAATAGTTGAAGAACCCACTGACTGTCGAAGCAAAAGGGAGAGGGATCAGATACAGGCTGAGGAGGCCGTCAAGTAACTTCACACACCAGATAGGCGCTAGAGTGGAATCCGATTGAGAAGCTATACGTTGGGTGTATAGGAGGGTAATATTGGGGAGCTCGTGAGTGGAAGAGATGAAATCGTTTGGATAATCATATATATATACCCAACTAAAAAGTACTGTAGAGAACAAGGCAGACGAATGGTGAAGTGCTGATGAAGCCCTGTGTTCTACGAGGAACCCAGTTCTCATTTATCTTAATAATAATAATAATAATAATACAAGAAATACATAGGTATATGTATCTATAATGAAATAACTTACTCAGCTGTATTTAGCAAGAATAGTAAAGCTGTTGCTAAAACTAAAACGAATTTCATGTCGGTGTTACGTTGATATTCTGAAATGTATGAATTATCATAGGAGTGATACCTTTTATACTATGTATTTATTTATTCGTTCATCCCATATAATTGACAGAATTCATTTTTAACTTGTTTATGCATTTTAGGCATGTCTTGTGTATGCATATAATAAACAGTAAGTAAGCATATTCCAGTTATGTGTAAATGAATACTTACACGTCTCTGATAAATATCAAATGTTTAGGCTGGTTTTACAGTTACAATACTTGTCAACAATATTTTTAAACATGAGGATAGAACATGTAATATGTATGTAGGCTAGATGACGTTGTTTTGACTAATCAGAGTTTTCAATTAAGTGTTTATAATAAAATTATTATATTTATTATTTAGAAGTTAGTGGCAAATTAATTTCAATGTAGACTTTGTTACGTGTCAGCATCACGAGCACTGGCATTTGTTTGGTCATAGTTTAGGTCTCCTCCCCAGTGCAAACTCAGGATCGTGGCTAGTTCCTACAGTTAAGAAGTGCTACTCTGATTTCCCTTGTGCGTCGGTGGTATAGCGGTTAGGACGCTCATCGATCATGCACATGGTCCGGGGTTCGATCCCCGGCCACCGACGCACTCCTTTACCTCGCTAAGCCAGAAATAATGCTAGTAAAGAGGAAAGGTTGGGCACGAGGCGAACAACTCCATCCTGTAAAATAATCACTTCCACAGAAACTGCAAGCCACCAGCTTGAAGCCTTATGTTCCACTGGGAACATGAAGGAAAAACCAAAAAACTCTGATTTTCGCTACGCCTACATACACCTACAGGCAAAATATCAACGTTTGGATGGCAACCCGAGGATGAAATGTGACCCACCGTATTAAGGTGAAACCGATAGAGCTTAGATTTCTCACCAGAAAGCTCTCATTTCCATTTTTGATGATATGCACTGCTGAATACTCCCATACCCTGACGTATCAGTTATAGGGTGCTATTGTAGTGACCCATTTTATTACTCATCATCGTACTATACTTTCATTGTGTAATTGTACTGTGATTTGTTTATTACTCTAAATTTTACGTGTTAATAATTGATACATTTGT